CTTCTTCTTCTTCTTCTTCTTCTTCTTCGTCGTCGTCGTCGTCGTCGTCGTCGTCTTCTTCTTCTTCTTCCCCGGGCCTCCTCCTCCTTTGTTTTGTTTTTTCAGTTTGGGTTTGTTGGTGTCAGAGACATTATGTGGAAGTAACCAACGTGAACAATGAATGTGTTCAGTTTCCACTGTCAGACAACGCTGTGGTTCTGCCAGAGAGTCCCCCTCCCCCACTCCTTGGGACGTGAGAAATGACGGGTTTTGCTGCAATAGGCGGCTGGTATAGCTTGGTCACTTTCCTCTGAGCGCGTTAAGAAAATACTCGCTAGTTAGCGGATTCTCTTTAAACCAGCAAGACTATCTTTGTCGCTGGTATAAGAATCCCCGGATTAAATACAGAATCGTGTCTAGTTTTAAATACCTTAAAAATTTGTTCCCCATCAGACCTAGTTGTGGATAGTTCTGAATTAAAAGTGGAAAAATAATCAGTTGACCTAGATCTGAAGTTTTTTAACATTTCGTTTACATTTTTAAAAAAAATTCCTGATATTTTCCTGACTGGATGTTCTATTTTCATTATTCCCTGTAGACTCTCTGGAAAACCTTCTAAAGGATATTTCTGCCCTGAACACCCCCTGTACCCGAAGAATGGACGCCAACTGGGTATCACGGAAACTGATTCTGGCAGCAGCGCTGTTCCTGTCCTCAAGTGCATCTGTACTGAACATAACCACACCTGAGGTAGAGGTTGGGAAAACTACCAACGTGTCACTGGGATGTTTCAATCCGTATCCTGCACGCGACATTTCTGAAATCGCCATTATTCGAATATTGAAATGGGATCATGATGAGTGGAACAGCGTGGCAGAACTACAACGCGGCGATGGTACGGCAGTTAGACAAAAATCCAAAGATGTATTTGTTAAGGGAAACATCGGCTCTGTTGCTGAAAGTTTTCTGAGACTTACGTGGCCGGTGGCGACCAATGACACACTCGGCCAATATCGCTGTGACTTCATCAGCCTCACTTTCCAAGAAAACGTTTTATGGCAAAAGAGTCTGTCCGTTTTCATCACAAGTACAAATCTCACTGTTCACGTCCTGAGCGAAATTGTGGAGCAAAACAAGAGAGAAGGTTTTCAACTGCTGCACTTACAGAAACATGATCTAGTAGAAAACATGACGGCGACAGTGGAGGATCTTGAGGCGGATCTTGAGAGCCAGTTGAAGTACCATATACGGGTGAGAATTTCTTTGTATGTATTTGTTATCCAATCATCGTCATCATTCTGTGCCAGATCTGCGACAGACATCGGCGATCGTGGTTCTCCATTCATTTCTTTGCTCGGATGCTCTCAGAAAAGCTACGTTTCCCTGATCT